AAGTGACCTTGAACGCGTGTTCGTCGTTGGCTGACAGCACCTATCATTATCATAGATGAAATATCAACGCTATTCATTAACTTAGCAGCAAATTTCACTTAGATCACGTTTTTAAGTACTGTTTGGACAATGTGTTCATAGCTCGTTAGGGTTAGGATCAGGATCATTATTGGCATTAGGGTTAGGTTTACGGTTAGGATAAGGGTTGTAATTAGGGTTAGGGTCAGGATTAAGGTTAGGGTTACGATCAGGGATAGATTTATAGTTGATGTCATTTATTTTAATTTGTTTTCTTATCCACATTTTCCCGGTAAGTAGTCGTCGATCGTCTTACTGGAAACCATAGTAATTCAGCCAAGTACTTTGGGGAGGACTGCACAACAGGATAAGAGAGATGAAGGATTAAAAAAACTGCTCATCTTCAGTCACCTCGGTGAACACATGTACTGAAACTAGTCTAACTTAGCAATTGATATTCCTCATTATAACTGGAACGTATTTTTAAGTCATGTCAGAGAAAGATACCCTGTTAAATGTGTTTTCATGCATTTTCTTGTAAATATACGTCATTTTTTGTGCAAAAGTCAATTATTTTTATGATTGGTCGGCTGAAGGTCACTCGTGTGTTCGCGTCCCTTGGGACGCTATTGTTGAACTTGGCGCGAAACTCAAAGGAATGAAGAAGAAAGCTTCCAATTTCAATGACAAATGCAAATTTTTAAGTTATGTAAAACCAAACTGTTGAGTAAAACTGGGTGAAGCAAGTTAACTTTTTGTCGCATCCATATAAGTCGACACGCCTAAAAAGGTTACGTACAACCTTGTAAATCTTGATATAAAATTAATATTTGTCCTCATTAAATTTTTCGTAAGAGTTGAAAACGTATATATATATATGTATATATGCATTCTATTTGTGAACATGTCTTTAAGATACTTCTGAAGACAAATGTAAATGCATAAGCGTATTTCTAGAGTACCTGCCAGGTGATTTTATTAATATTTATTGGATTGCAATAAAGGAATCCTGTAGAAGCATACAGGTACAAAAAAGGTTGAATTTATCAAAAATGTTCATATATTATTTATAAATATATCCAAAGGACTTTAACAAGAGAAAAGAAAGTGTTAACAGCAGTATCAGTTCTTAAAGTTTTGCACTCTCATTTAAATATAATTACTGTTCATACTTATCAACAGAAAATGAAGAAACATTTAAGTTTATAAAGTTATATCATTTTTATATTTTATGTAAATTTCTAAAGTTGAAATAAAAGTTGATTAGGATTTCCAATCATAAATGGACGTTCTACAGCTATTGTAATTCGATCATTTCTGCATTATTCAGTTTATGTAAAGTCAATTTAAATAAATGAAAAGACAAAGTAAAATGAAAAGAAGTACAACACAAAAGGCAGACAAATACACATGAATACTTTAAACATCATATGAGAGAAGTTATTGAGGGGAAACTCTGAGATAATGTTTGATTGATTTTCAATGTGATGCAGAGTAATTTCAAGTTGAAACGGAAGTGTAGATTTCAGCACTACTTAGAAATGCATTCATTTGTTCATTCACTGAGTGTTGTATTCAGTGGAAAGCAAAACTCAGCTGCTGGTCACAGATGATTTAGCCATGTTAATAAGTGAAACATAATGTTGCCTTGATCGTCATCATACCAACTGCTCATTTATATCCTCTATTCAGCGATTCTTATCCTGCGGATTGAGTGCGATGAATCCTTGGTGAGAATCACCGGTATATATATATATATATATATATATATATGGTTTTAATCCTGCGATTAGGCTCCTGTTCTTGAAAAAATTCACTTGTTATTTAACCATTCGATAAAACATGTTTATAAATATGTGATATTATCTTAAGCTACATATTAAGTACCCCATCTCGTGAGACTGAATACTTAAACTCAGAATTCCATTATATTAGCCACAACATATTAGTTCGAATGCTGTACATACTAAAATCACATAACACCAGTTAGTAACTGGTATCTAATCAAAAATATCCTATACACTCCTACAGGAGGTTAATCGCGAGCCCGAATAGCTGCTCAGTGGTAATGTCTCTAACTGCGGCACTGGGTGATATGGGTGCGAATCTCAGAAGGGGCATGAGTTCCTTTAAGACTACAGATACACCTAGATGACTGACCGATGAGTGCCTGCTAGCACGAAACCTAGGTGAAACAAAGTTTCCTGTCGATTGCCTTCAACCATCTACTAAAATCATTCCTTTATGAACTTTGTCGACAGCTCTTTCTGGAACTCTACAGTTTCAAGAATGTACACTTCAAATTCAGCTGCTTTAAAAATAATTCTACATCCTGGAAGACTAAGGTGTTTTGATCATTCTAAACAGATTTATATCAAGTTCATCTTATTTCTGTAGATTAAATATTCAATTTTTGAATGCTGCGAGAAGCGTGCTTTGAGTTTTTATATCCAAAGTATTTTCAATCATTAATAAACTGTGAAACGAGAATAAGTTCATTTGGCATGCCCTCATTTTTTTTTAAATATTTCGTCTTTCCCTTAAGGGTGAACAAAGATAAAATGTGAAAATATAGATAACCTCAGATGTGAAACATGCACAAGACAGATTTACAGCATTAACAGGAAATACGCTTCCATTAACCTCTCAACTGGATTGACAGTCAAAAATGTCATAGATAAATTAGTTAAACTGAAAATAACCTCAGGCCATCCAGTGAACAAATAAACCACGTAATAAAGTTGAACGTCACGTGATATACAAATTTTAGTCAATAACTGAACACTGTTGAGACATGTTAATCACAATACAGAAATGTTCCATTGTATCATCAATGCAATTAGGGTACTACCCATTATAAAAGCATAACCTTAGTTTGCAGTTCCTTATTTGTTTTAAATTCTGAGTAAACAGGGAATACCATGGCTTAGCAGTCCAGTTAATAATGTTTTGGCGTTTTGAAGCGATGGGTTTTAGGTTCGTGATTCAGTAGGAACACCATCACTGACTGAGATACAGACTCATTCAGACAACGAGTCCCAAACGGGACGAGACAGGAATCATGGATTTCACTTTGAACCACAACAAGCCAAAAAGCAATGACTTTATCGCACACGATACTCAAGTTTGATTATGGACTGATTTCAGCTGGAGAACCATTTGAAACCAGGCAGTACTAGATAGTTGTTTCATCCTAGTTTGTGACTCTTCAGCTACACGCACCCACCAAGGTCAGAACCTTAGACCTTCCAATCACAAGGCAAGCTCTTAGACCATTCAGTCTCTGGTAAAGAATCCAATGGTCCATGAATTCAAACTTCCATCAATTCGTGATTTTAGTGCGCCCACCAGCCGTGATCAAACTTGAAACAAATCAAATTCCTACCAACTAATGTCAGTAAGACGTTGGTGCATTGTGGAATAGATCAGATTAATTATGATGATATTTCAGTAGTTTACACACAATGATAAGTTTTTTTCCTTTTGTTTTGCTAATATTTCGAGCGAAATTACTGCCCGTGATGACACCAACTAACTCATGAAAACTCTTTTTTTAATTAGGCTTAAGATTATCAAAGATTGAAATCCGGTAGGTAGATTTTATTGGATGGAGGATTTCATCATGAGCTGACATCAGTTAGAGAACCACTGGAAAAGCTGGGAGTACTGGACAGCTGTTTCGTCCTAGTTTGGGACTCTTTTATTAACAGAACCTTATTGAAGTTTTGACCAAACTTGCATCATTATGTTAAAAGATGGTTTTCTACTTTTCAAAGCTGCATATCTTTCCAACAAATAATTAAGGCTAACTGTTTGATTATATTGAAGCGAAAGGGTATAGTCTATGTCCAGTGCATGACATTCTCAAGAATGCAAAAATGCACACAAAAACTGGAAGCAACCATAGTGTTTGTGAATTTATTATATTTAACATTGAATAAAGGGCAAACTAACAAGTCTGATAGTTTACTTTATTAACATAAGTTCATTAAATTTGAAAAATAAAAACGAATCTGTTTCATTTGCTGAACCTAATGAACGCTAAAAACGTCATCCGTCTATTTAATTTTCCTAAGAAAAGATCAGCTTAATTTATTCCACAAATGACTCAAGTGTAAATAGGTCTAGATACTCTACACCATTTTAAGTGGTCTATTTTATTCCCAATTCAAATTATGTAGGGAAGGAGTTAGGGAAAATTATGTAATCATAAAATTTAAATTTCGCCTCAGGCTGGATTTTTCTTTTAATGTTCAACATTTAAAAAATCAAACTTTGAGTGAAGCTAATTAGTACTTATCAGTAAATTAATTAATTGGCATACAATATTTAATTTTGACACTGTTAATAAATAAAGGTTATAACAGCAAATTGTAACTTATAAAAGTAGGGGTTCAAAACTACGATGAGAGTTTGAAGAAGGACACAATTTATAATCAAGTGGTAGTGTGTGACCTCTCAGGAGAAAGTTATCTACATTCAAATGGCTTGAATAGTCGTTTTTTTCCTACCTATCTCTGCACATTGTATCCTCATGAACTTAGTACTGTGGAACACTAGAATCCAGAACTCGTAGTTTGTTAAGTTCCTGACTTGTTAGTCAAATTTCAGTTTCAGTGTTGCTTGTTACTCTGATCAGCTTTATAAAGACCACAGACGCTAACTATGAAACTTTGACAAACAATGGGATCGAAGTTGATAAGGAGAATAATATCTTACACAATAATAGAGTTGATCTGCCGGTATTGTTTCCATTGGTAAGAATACTCAACTTTTGGTATGTGTAATTACAATAACCAGCGAAGAAAATCATTTATAATGGACTACTTATTCATCCCATAAAGTGACTTCCTACGAGTCTAACCACATCTGAACAATTATTTATAAGTAGTGTACCAGAAGTAATATGAACTACTTTATAACTCAGTATGTATTGATCCTTATTTTATATTTTTCTTGTTTAATCCTATCAACCAATTTAGATTTGGCGAAATACGTCGTCTGGACAAGAAGCAACAGTGTTGTTGGTCATGTGAAACATGTGGTGTGGATCAGCGTGTAGTCAACTTAACACATTGCGAAACATGTCCATTTCAACACTGGCCTTCAAAAGATAAGAAAACATGTGAATTGTTAGAGGTAAATAGTAACTAGTATTAATATTCTATCTACAGAAAGATTTTTATGAATCACTAAGCTGTTTAACATCCCTGAAGTCACTTTCGTATTTCCTTTTTATATCGTATTTTTAAGTTACTCAAATTAGAGCCATGAAACTTTATCGATTTTGAGCTGAAACGTAGTCAAAATACCTCATTTTAAGCAGTATATCTGTCAGTCAAATAGCAATAGAAAGTTATTTGATTGTCCAGATGCATTCACATATATGTTTTTCTTTTGTAAACTATGCCATATGCAGTTTACTATGCCATTTGCACACACAAGGCTGTCGGATTAAGGAAGTTAGTGAAGTATATCAATGATGCTTCTAAGATACAAATAATAATAATAAAATTTGCTTTTCAACGAAGTCATCAACTAGGCTGTACATTCGCATATGTTTACTAAATGTGTGAGAAAGTTCCAGAATCATTACCAGTCAAAGGTTAAATTCTAAAAGTAAAAGGTGTAATAATCAAGAAGATCGGGTAGAAAAGACAAAATAAGATTACAATTACTGAAAAACTTGACTGTTTGTACAATTACGGAATAAGAACGTAGTAATAACGAGATAGGTAGGAAGTTCGGATATAAGAAAAACAAAAAATAAAAAATCTAGTAATTCGGATAGGAATTAAAACAAGTAAAAATAACAGAAATGAACAGGAAGGTTGGATAATAAAGGTAATAGGATAATCATTATTGATGGGACTGACTTTTCATGATGGCCACGGTAGGGACAACGGTTGAACGTATTTCTTTTGAACACATGAAGTGGGCTTGAATTTTTGGATTGCCAGTGCCTCAGCTATTCCTAGATACCTTGATTTCATTCCCTTTTTATATGTTTGAGATGATCTTGAATGTGACTTTGAAGGACTTTCCAAATGAACCTTAATGTCCTGAATTCACCAGATTTTCTGTTGTCGAACTGTATACACCCTTGCGTTCTCCTCTCGCTAACCATACCGGATAGTGTTCCCAAGTGCATTTTACAAGCGGATGACTGGTACGGTCAATGTACTCGGCTCCACAAGAGCAAGTAAGCTGGTATGTGCATGTTAAAGTTGCCTAACGCAATGGCTTGTCTTTCATGTGCTGGCTGAATAGTTTCTTGCAGGAAAATGACACTCGTAGGTTGGCGATGAAGTGTTTTTTACTGGAAGACTTTGAAAGTCGTCTGCGAAGATGTTCTGCTTCAGTGCCAATTTGAAATTCGAGGTTAAATATCAGCATCTTTTTGAGGGTAATTCTGACCTTCTCAGGCGTTTTCTTTGGTTTCAGATTCTTCCCTATTAATCTGGATGGGAGGCCATTTTCTATCAAGGTACCTCGGAGATGTCACAATTCTTCGTCACTTGATTCTTCAGTGCATATTTTCTGTTATTTTTGCGTTTTTTAATTCCTATCCGCATTACTAGATTTTTTGTTTTTGTATTTTTTATATCCGAACTTCCTACCTATTTCGTTATTACTACGTTCTTATTCCGTAATTGTACAAACAGTCAAGTTTTTCAGTAATTACGATCTTATTATGTCTTTTCTACCCTATCTTCTTGATTATTATACGTTGTAATTTTTGAATTTAACCTTTGACTGGAAATAATTCTGGATTTTTCTCACACATTTACTATAAATACACGCATGTACAGCTTAGTTGATGACTTCGCTGAAAAGAAAATTTTCTTCGCTGAAACCGTCTTTATAATAATTCCTGTGATCCAATCTATGTATTTCGTGATTTGAAAAACTGATAATTCTATAAGTGAAGTAATGTGCTGAGGAGATACGCCTCACAGATCAGTTGCATACCCCCTGAATGATTAGTCAGTAGGCTGCTGCTTCGAAACATACGACGAGTCATTTCAATTTCTGTCATGAAACGTTGCATCAGCAGAAGTATGTCAACTCAAGTTTATCTCTGATATTCATACTTCGAGAGTAAAATACATAATACACAATAATGGTCTTCATGATGGAAAACAGGCCTAATTGCAGTATATAAGAATGGTCGTTTATTAAAGTTATATTATGAGTAAATCCAATCACGTATACAAATTAAATAGCCCCTACATTAACGTTATCATTCAGAGATAGTTCACTTTATGCAATGATAATTCACTTCAAATTTGGTTTGTATTTTGTAATCCTTTTATTTCTATTTATCATATCGACTTGTTTGACCTTTACTTAGTTTTGACATGAATAATATGACAGGTCGATTCACAGTCAGATACTTTAAAATGTATAGGGCTGACATACTGTACATTGTTACTAAATTACATCTTTTCATCATTTTTTCTAAAGCTACTTTGCCTGACACAGTAAACTAATCTAAAAACAACAAGTTATCCACAAGTTGTTAGTTAGTTATGTTTTTCACCTCTTGGAATCAAACAGCATGAACTACTTGTGATCGTGTGTAAAGTTTGTTGAGAAACACATAATGCCTTTTAGAAATAATATTCCTTTTACATGTCCTCTGCTAATCTGTTTTAACTAGGAGAAATGCCAACGGAAAATAAACTCACACATACAAATTCGACTGATAATTAGTTAAACAAATCTACTGAGAACATGTCTTTGAATTTTAGATCAGATTAACTATGGTACTCATTGTATTATTACAAACAGCTCTTACTCTTCATAAGTTAACATGACTGAGTCAAAAAGTAATCTGTTTTTGGTCGCGTGTACATAAGACGAGGTAATATAGTTCTGTCTCGTTGTATATGCGACTATAAATTACATAATATTATCAGCAAACGTGAGATTCCTCTGGTTAATATACAGGCGGTAAAGCACACCTACTTCATCATATATGGTATTATTCAGGACAAAAACACTCATCACTAATTTCAAATATCTATATGCATTAGATAATTCTAATAATTTATGATAACATATACTCAAAGTTTGAGGACTAACATGAAAAGTTCACTGGCAGCATTAGCTATTACTATCTAGGAGTAATATTTAGGATTTTCTCTTCTAACTATGCTCAACCACGGGAGACTCTAACCATTGGTAGTGAATAGTTAATATTATCCTTATCTAGTCTGAATTCTGATAACTGCTATCAAGACATTACCGTTTATATTATGAATCTCATTCCACAAAGTTAATTCCTACAGTTGCTGATAGTCGTAAGACATGATACGTCAGGCACTTGAAAACTATATGACACATACAGTATTATCACCTAGACACTGTTGTACTACCTTAGTGGAATTATATTTTACGATAGAGTCCAAATTCTACTCTTACAATCAGAAATAATAGTGCTTACAACATCAAAGATAGTTCACGTAATGCTAAAATAACTCAGTTATGGTATTGAAGTTTGACTAGTTAAGCGGCATTCTCTCTTTAGGTACACTTAACTCTAAGATTTTTTAAAATTTATTTCATTTGTAAGTCAATGAAACATGTATCAATATATTTCTCCTTTTAAAACTTTGGGAATACTTCGTATTAATATGTATCTTTCGTTAAATATATTTATTTCTTATGTACAGCTCCATTATATTGATATTTCAACTTGGTTCGCAATCGTCCCAATAACTTTTAGCAGTCTTGGAATATTAATCACTGCAGGAGTTATAGTTACTTGGCTTTTATATTCTGAAACACCTTTGATTCGAGCTACAGGACGTGAGTTGGCTTATGTACAACTAGCAGGATGTCTTGTTTGTTACTCATGTACGTTTATTTTGATTGCGAGGCCGTCAATTTTTACATGTTCAATGCAAAGAATTCTTATTGGTCTTGGATTCGCTATGATGTATGCATCACTGTTAACAAAAACTAATCGTATCGCAAGAATTTTCGATGCTGCAAAACGTACTACTAAACGTCCTGTATACATTTCACCGAGATCACAACTTGCTATTGCTGGATCACTGATCGCCTTGCAATTATCCTTATCAGCTATATGGTTTGGATTTGATTCACCTGATACACGTATCGACGAAATTCGTCCTGGTTTCTTAGTTCTACGATGTGCAATGAAAGATAAGAGTTTTTTAATTTCTTTAGCTTATAACATGATTTTAATTATTGTATGCACAGCATATGCTATAAAAACTAGACAAATTCCAGAGAATTTCAATGAATCCAAATTTATTGGTTTCACTATGTATACAACTTGTATTATATGGTTAGCATTCCTGCCAATGTATTATGCTACAATTAGTAATCATCAGGTGAGTATTTGAATTTTCATTTTTCAGTCACGACAGTTGCCTAGATTTCCGATTATAACGAATGCATATTATTATTTGTTTGTAATTCACTTGTGATTTTCCCATTAATTGGTTGTGTAGAAATATTCGGCCTCTGTTGACATATCAGCCCCTAGTATGTACTTTCGAGGATGTTTAAGGATTAGCTTGAAGTAACTTGGTGGATGGTGGCTAGCAGTGGAATTCAGGATGCGCATTTTGTCCTATCCGGGAACCATCATCAACTGGATGCACCTGAATTCCCCAGTGAGTGATGGTGTCCCACTGAGACTCGAACTCAGTGCCTATCGTTCCAAATGACACTGGAACACTTCGGTCACCTCTTGCGCAAGTGATATTAGTTATTATTTGGTTTTAATTCAATCTTGATTTTCTAGTTGATTGATTGGACTAAAATGTTCGCCCCCTGTTAACATGTTGGCCCGTATTACGTACCATCACTCTCTGGAAATGCAGGTATACCCAACTGACGAGTCCTCAACAGGGTGAAATTCGCATCCTGCATTCCACTGCTTTTCGTCAGCCACCAAATTACTTAAAAGTATAGTATATTTTTGCCCGTTTGAGTGATTCCTCAAATAGGAGGGATAATATCCCATTGTGCCACGAATGGCTAAATTCTATTCTTGCACTCATACGTACATCGCATTCTCATGGGCTACGGCTATTTCATTTGCACCCTCATATAATAACTGTGGTACTCACAAACACTAAATATTGCTTTGTGTTTCTCAAAACTAATTACACATGTTACTTGTCAAACAGTGATGACTTGACAACACAGATTTGTCCTAATAAAGAAAATTTTAGAGTAAAAAAGAGCAAAATCATGCATCCTTTAACTTTGACTTCTTAATACTGTTACCATAGCTACTATCCCTGTTGCTAGAGTAATGTTTGTAGCCAGATGGAGAATGAACATAATTGGTTGTTAGATGAATTGACAGTAAATAGTTTTATCATTATAATAATAATTTAAAAGTAGTTTTGCTTTAAAAAATAGTCTATGGTGATTTTCTATTTTACAAGCTAATAACCATTTGACTAGTCTGCATCGGAATACTTACTCTAAAAATATTGATCTTTTATAGCTTCGTCGTTTTAGAAAAGGAGCTCACGTTGGTAACATCAACTTATCGACCATAGGAATGAGGAAATTTCACCCAACATACTTCTGATTCCAGAAATTAGGATGAGAGAGAGAGAGACTATTTAGGATTCATAGTTTTATGATTTCATTTATTTTGTTGTCTCAAAATATAAGAATAAGTACACTTCATACTATAGATTTTTAAAGCAATGATAAGCCGATTTTTCACAAATAATCATTTCTAAATTTAAAGTCCTGACTTAATGTTATATACTGTGGAAGCCTCTGCTTTACAAAGCAGTTACATTCTTGTCCCACTCTGCAGACTTTGTCGAACTTTGTAGACTATATTAAATGATGCGTCAGATGTTGTGTTATCAGTATCTACAATATATTGCACCATCGATGAATTAATACGTCTACATTCTGCTTTGTTCGGCTTAACAGAGAGGTGCTCTCGAACGCTGCGGGATATGTTTCTCAACGATAGCCTTATGTACCTAGCTCAAGAAGAGCAGGTGAACATATAAATACACATGGAACTAGACAATCGAGGTAATATTTCCTTGATATTAAAGTGCACCAGTGGACGGCTGAAGTAGGTTATTCGTAAAGTGGCAGCAAAGAACGGTTTTCTTAGTGATCTCGTCAGATGATTTTTAGGTAGTGTCACTCATAAATTCTAAGTTTAAGTGCAACACTCTTTTAGCTACCTTCTCAATCAGTTGTGACTCATAATCCTATACACTAATATTATTTCACTTAAGTATTTCCACTCACTGTCAAATTATAACACATACAAGAAAAGAATAGACACGGAACAAAGAGTACTCTTTTTGATAAATTCATCATCAGGTTCTACAATTATATATACATTATAATGAATGAATGAATTAGTCTTATGAACAACATTAATGTTTAAATAACATCAAATCAATAATATTGATAAATTACAGCTGAACAGCATCAATATAAACTGACTGTCAGAAGAATTAGGAAAGGTAATGGTACAAATTCGTGAGTTTATAGTCTCTACTGAGGGCCAAGGCTGTAGTAGGGTCTGGACTTTTTTCTTTTGGACACAGAGCACTGGTTGTTTGAGGCGAATCGCAATAGCCTCTGCTGTTTGGAGTATGCGGTGCTTCGACGATTTTGGTAATTTGTTAGGCACCCGGTATATTATGGAGAAGGATTCTTCTACGCTGGCTTTGTGACCGGTCTAATGGTCTAATATCGAACTGTTAATAGTTTTAACTACACCTTTACTTAGCCATAGTGGGATATGTTCTCGAGCACGAAAAATCAAGTTCCTAGAGCAACGGCCAACATAACTCGCTCCACAAGCGCAGTTGAATTGATAAATACAATTTGAAGTGGCTAGTCTAGGTACTTCATCTTTCAGTCGAGGTAGCACCATTGGTCGTGTAGAGAATAATACGTGTAGTTCGTTACTGTCTATTATAATTCATATGTATAATATATACGATTGTAGAGCTATGAAAATGAAATCGTCGAAATCTCTGCATTCTTTGTTTTTATAAATGAAAAGTTAATTGAAAAGAAAGACTACAAGTTATTCTCTCGCATCCAAACTAACTTTTTAATATGGTGTCATGGGATTAACATTTTCGTAGGGAATGATGCGTTTTGTAGCAGAAATAGGGAAAGGTATGTGAATGATTTAATTAACAGTATATGGAAAGTCACTGTCCCCACCTCTCTCTTTCTCTCTCTCTCTCTTTTAGTCCTAATTATTACAGAGTAGGTTTCATAAAACCAATCATTCATGTCAAAAAGAAGTATATCAATCATCCTGACAGATTTATTTAAAATTGTCCGATGAAATAATAATAATATTAATGAAACTTGATTATTTTCATTATGATTAACAACATAAACGCCCAACAGTCTCAATAGTTAACATTTATGAACATGTTAATGCAGTCTTAAGCATTAATAAATTCGAATAGATTTTAGTAAACCACTATGAAATAATTACAGAAACTTCCTATTTGCCTAGAAAGAAGGGAGAAAGAAACAGGAGACAATGAGGTTAAAACAATGAGATATATTATACATGGATAAATCGTATTCATTTCTCATTTTGTTTGTTTTTCACTTACATTGTTTTCGCGTGAGATAATGTTCTGCTGTTTCAGTTTACTAATGAATAAGTATGAAAAGAATTATTTCTAGTTGTATTGTAACAAATTATTGTCCTTTCTTTCACTGCCCCTTTTTTAATCAATTATTTATCAATGTACACACTTTCGTTGACTATTTGTTTCACTGGAAAAGCAGAGAAAAATAACCATCAAGGGGATTTACAGTAAAATCTAAGCTTCCCAGACTATTTACTTTCTGACTCAAATGGACTCAGTTGGAATAGGTTAAGCCAACATTCTGGTTCAGTGGCAGAATACTGGCCAACCACTCTCATGGTTCAGGGTTCGATCAGTGGCTGACACACTGTAAAACCTCACTCGATAATAATAGCTTAATTCTAGGTAGTTTTTATAAAATGAACAGATTTTTTGGCGTTAACTTATTGCATAATATTTTCACCCAGATCGGATATCTTCAAGTAAGATAATAACTGATGGTAGATCGCCATCGCTAGCATTTACTTTGGGTGCATTTCAGATACTTTGGGGCAGTCTGCAGACAACTGTCCCACTTTCTTCTTTGCGCCCTAAGTTCTTACCCGAAAATGTTTCGAATGGACCGGAAGAAAATGCTGGCTGATGTGGGACTTAATTTCATCTGACCTAATGCGCAAACCAGTCTTTCATGATATTTCTTCTTTCTATCCTTCGATAAATGCACATTTGTTTGAAAGTCAGATAAGAAAAATGAACGAGTATATCTTGTGACCTAAAGACATAGCTAGATGATTAAAGACTGCAGATGATTAGTTTTATTTCGTAAGAATAGGCTCTTTGTACTAAAAATGTCAGGAATAGCCATCTCATGTATTGTGGTTTAGTGGGCACCGACAACTATGCTTTATCTCAAGTTTGGTAGAAACTATATGTATATATATATACATATATCTGACCTAACAAAAAATGACTTGAAGACTATGCCAACTGTCACACCAATCACTGATTTTTAGTTAAACCATTAACAGAAGTTCAAGAATCTTATTGATGCATAACATTTTTCACTTCCTTTATGGACCTACTGAAAATAATGTTGAGATCCTGAGTGAAATGTTTTGTTTGAATATACATCCGAAGATTAGATGAGCTATCACTGCCCAGAAGGGAGTTATCCTCTGTTACATCAATTGTTAGATAGATAGGCACATGCGAAAAACATAATTTATAGTCACATAAACGGTATACAAGTCATCCGGCTTAATGAACACACAACTTTTGAGAATATCGAAACATAAGGCGAAAACAATGAAATTGAAATGATTAGTTTCTCATAATTATAAATGTCCTCCTACTGACTTTATTTGACTTCAGCTACTTTTTAGGTGCTCAGTTTCGAAACCCTGTAATAACCAAACATATAAGTGAATAAATGAATCATTAAGAAAAAAAAATTGTTGCTGCTTTTAGTTTGAAGATTGTCATTAGTAGAAAAATTAAGAAAAACAATAACAACACAAGATCCAAACTTACATTAAGGAAATGTGATCTTAAATAAGTAGAAAATAAAAGAAGGCCACGAATAGATAATCAGCTAAAAACTCTACACACGACTTACCAAGTGTCGGTTTGCAGGGATTTGATTGGCCACAGGTTTAATCACAGGCTGACATCAATTAGAGAACCATCCGAAGACGACGGAGTACTGGACAGATGTTTCGTCCATGTCTGGGACGCTTCAGAGATGCATACCCATTTGCAGTTCGGACCCTGCAGCTTCAGGTCTCAAAGTGAACTGGTAGATCATTCAGCTACAATGAATCTATTAAATCGCTCATGAGTTCCATCTTTTGACGATTCTTGATGTATACAGCCCAATCACTAGTCAACATTATCAGCGAGAAACTGTTCCCTTACCTGACTTGATGTATCCTACTTGTCATGACTTCTCGTTAGAACTTCTGGTAACTTCTTGCATAGAACCAGTCACTTCAGATACGTAGAAGGCATTTCTGATGACCCAATACAAATGCAAACTCACGATTCCTTTTTTATTATGGTGCCATTTGGTCAGTATAAGCCTGACAAGGCAGCCCTATCGTAAATCTTCTCATTAAGATCAAAATTGGTTATTACTGCATAATCAAAACATTGCAACTTTTATGGAAAATAAATCATGCCGTGTTTGTTTTCAGTCGAATGACTTATTACTCACTAGATTCCTGTGAATAATCAACGGGTTCTATTGCGAAGGTAAAAGTGTACTGTATGTGGAAAAATGTAACCGCTTTATGTAAGCTTGTAATCTAGCAATATAAGCATAGAATAAAATTGACATTTGTGAACTACACAGTTCAAGGTGAAGATTTATCATGCATATCCAGATAATAACAAATGATCTGCTTGATACAATATATGAGAGTTAAGAAGGCAAGCGAAATTTCCAAATCAGTTCTCCTCCTTCATCTGAGTCTATCACGGGCAACCAACTGACGACCTTGAAAGAGAAAAACAGCTGTCTGGTGTTTAGATCATGCTGAATTGGTTAAAAAGCATGATTGTTTGGCATGACTGGTTTCTAACTACCTTTATCAATCAGCAGTTTGACTGAGTTAAACATTAAGCATCGAATTATTGCAATCACATCAATGACCTAGGGACGTTCAGTCAGCAACTTAGTTCAACCACATAAATTGCACCATATTCATAACTAAACTATGCTTATAAAAATTCTTATAAAGCACTGTGATATTAAACGGGATATCTGGAAATTTTTAGCTTAGATTTGGAAAAGACTAAGTTAAGACTTTGGCTAAATACGAGTTAGGATTAGGTTAACCCAATAAGGGAGATATTAGTGTTGGTTCGAGTTAGATTGTAGTTAATTTAGGGATATTTTCGCGTTCAGGTTAGGCTAAGCAAGGATTAGGATTAGGGTTAGAAGACCTAGATGAATACATGCATAGAATGTGGTTGAATTGCTCTGTTGACATTTCGTTGCAAAACTGAGGGACATTTTTGTCACATGTCAGAGAATGGTGTCTTATGTAGCATGTTCATGTCGTTTAGTTCATTATTTTGAAAAATCTGTGTATTTCTTTTGCGCGAAAATAATCTTTTCATGTGATTGGTGCACTCAACGTCATTTGTGCCTTCCAACTTTTCGGTGCTTTAAGTTTAACTTCACCTTGAATCTAATAAACTGAAAGCACCATGGTGTCAGACATTATAATGACTAGTAGGGAAGATAATTAGTTTCGAGGCACTACCTACTGTAGCATCAAGAAAAGCACTTCTAACAGCCTACTGAGGACTTTTGTCAACAGATATCTTTGCTTCATATTGAAGACCAGATGTGTGAACATAAAAGATTATCAACAAGCCAGTCAAAAAACTATCACCTTACAAATATGCAGGCGAAAATGGAGATGGTTTGAATATAATCTGTGGAGACCCTTAAGCAAAATCACATGTTAGGCCCTCGAGTGGAGACTGCGTATGGTGAAAATGAAAGCTTACGGTCAGTCATGGAGGCAGCTTAAAGCGATTACAAAGAACAGAGTGAAATGGTCACGTGCCTCTTAGACTCCATTTTCCACTAGGAACCCTAGGGAATAATAATACCTGGAAATTATGAACATATACATTTCACACTGATTGCATATAAAGGTATATAAAGGTAATCAGCTAATTCAGGAAGTCGATACCGTATTAAGAAGTTATGACAGCTTGTAACCGACTTAACATTAATCCGTGTCAGGTCTAGAACTGCAGTCACTTGATGTAAAGTCAAAAGTGAGCTCGAGTGATTTCACTGAATGTTTAAATCGTCACAGATAATGTGTTTACATTTGAATTTATCTGCTGATACTTTCACTTTATTTGAAACACTAATTTAATCGTACTGATGTAATCGCCTAAGTTTTGTAGCATCTCATTAATTAAGAAGTGTATCTGTCTGTATACTATCCGTTGAATAGCTGTCTGTTATACATATCTTGTTCCGAATATATATTCAACTGAATACTTAAAAGGACAATAAATACGACATCACTGTAAGAGAATGATTGTTGGGAAAATCCCTCCTGAAAGATCTAATTACAAGATTGATACTTAGTTGCATTTTTCGATTAACTTCCTAATTATTATTCGTTTTTCTCCTATACCGTGTGTCATCGTTCTGATATTTGAATAGCATATGTTGTTTAGATCTTTATTATTTTTCTTTATCCCTTCTTAATCTCTATTTCTAATGCTTCTCTTTGTGGATGTATGACCATATTGATAATGTGTTGTTTGACGTTTGCTATTTTTTTTTGAGTGAATCAAGGTCACTCGGACCCTCAGTTGTCTGCAGGAAGCGTTAGCGTGTGATTCTTGTGGACTGAGTTTTTGATCCCATCTTGTTGGAAATATTCTACGTGACTGTAAGGAGCTTCTTCCAGTTGAATTTCGGTAAACTAATTTTGTTCTGTAGTAACTGTTTTCCACTATAAGTTCTTCTTGCCTGCATAAGTACCTAACGGCACTGTTAAGGTGATTTTGAGTTTTTAGTGTTAAACCTATTGAACAGAACCAAAACCACAGATCTGTCAACCAATAATCGTCTTTTTGCTGTCACTGAGCGTTTCGTGACTGTGTGTGTCCCTAGGGAGATTTGCCAGTCATATAGTAGAACTCAAAGATTGATTCCCTGCGTTTAGACCACAACGAGTTGGTTTTGGTCATTACAGTCGGAATATATAAATACGACTGTCATATGTTTCCACACATCATTCGCATTAGTGGAATTCCTCCATTCTTTCATGATGAATAATAATGGTAATGATTTTGTCAGATCGTAAACGGAAACCAAGTACTTATTTGCACTTTTCTAGGCATAAACTTGTTTTCCAGTAAGTATTCACTATTTACACTTAAAATATGTGTGGATTAATTACTCGTTTTACACTGACTAAAACCGGTGTCAAAATGAGATTACCAGTTCTAACCCCAACTCTCGAAATGTACTTTCAAGCATGAGATTATTGTTATTTTCGACTTATTTAATCTCCACGAAAACGTATGCATACATGTTGCATAAATCCCAAGCATTCGGGTTTGTTTGTGCACACACTATTCCTGCTTCAAGCACAACTCACCATTCAGGTAATCATGTAACATAGAAGACACTGCAGTAACGGCTACAACTATTTTTTTAAACTACTCTAGAACCATGCATAATTTCTAATGAAGAAACTGTAATGAAACCACATTTGCCAATTCGCTAGGCTTTTAAATCATGATAGTGCGTCCGTGGCACAGTGGTTAGGACTCTCACCGACCATGCACATGGTCCGGGGTTCGATCTTCTGCCGACGCACACCCGATATCAATGGTCGGCCTGCAAAATTTGGGCTACCTATATCACATGCTGAAAATTCCATACTTGTACCGAAAAATACGGTGTGGAATCAAGCTGTAATCAAAATAAAAGAATAATAATAAAAAGAGACCCCCATTAGTGTACCAGACTTCCATCTAGTTCACTGTAACTCCCGTTTTTATTCATGAGGTTATTCGCCTCTACGTAAATATTCCCCAAATAAACAGACCTGGATCTTCAGATCATCCTGTAAGAACCATATCAGTTTAGTAATCTTCTGATTGTATAGTTACAATTTGATATGTGTTTCGCTTTAATTTATCCAGCCTTATTTGTGTTATTCATGTAAGTTAATTGAATGTCAAATAAAGAGTGAAGTAAACAAAGTAGTGAACCATCATTAGAGGAAATTTATTTGTAAACTTCCTAGAGAAACATCAGTACAAGATTTACAAGGTAACAGCAAGATTAATTAGTCTTTTATTTATCCAGTGTTTCAGAAAGAAAAATTATACATTATCTAATGCTTATCATTTGATCCCCAATGAAAATGTTACAGATTCTAAGAAATTTATGCAAATACTATTTAGAGTGGTGTTGAACTGACCTATTTTTAAAACAATACAAGGCTTTCATGTATTTCACTGAATATTGAACACCTTGAAATTTATGTATGCTTTTAATCGATTGATTGGTTTTTTCCCTCATTTTTACAGATTCAAATTGCAACTTTATGCATATCTGTAGATTTAAGTGCAAGTGTTATGCTGTGCTGTTTATTCTTTCCAAAGTTATACATCATTTATTTACATCCAGAGAAAAATGTACGCCGTTTAACAATGAATAATATGACAGCTAAACAAAAATTTGCTAATTTAGTTAAACAGAAAGCATCAACTATAACAACTTCAACAAGTGTGTGCGTGTCAAGTTATGTCTCAGACAATACTAGTTTAACAGTGAGCAGTAGTACAAAAACTGGTTTACAAACAGATTCAGATAGAGGAATATTAACCAGTCCCGCTGGTCCAACACAATCGAATATGGCTAGTCCAAATTGTTTGAAAACAGGTAAGACAGATTGTGAAATATTTGTTACTTAATTGTGTAGTAGTTTACGCCAATGAAAGTACTGAAAGAGTCACCGTTTATAAATCCATTAATGTTAGCATCTAATAGCCAGTCAATTAAAATTATACCAGAAACTGTAAAGAAGTGCTACAAGTACAAGATGGAATAGGTGTCGCTGAGTTTTGAGGTATGGTTAATATGAAAATGAATGAATCATGTGTATACAATCAATATAAGCATTAGTTTCAAAAGGTTGCAGGTTTAATCACAAGCCGACATCAGTTAGAGAACCATCCGAAAACGACGAAGTACTGAATAGCTCTTTCATCCCATTCTGGGACGCTTCGGCAGTATGCACCCATCATGGTCCGAACCCAGCACCTTCAGGTCTAAAGGAGAGCTGGTAGATCATTCAGCTACAGGGAATCGATCAAATGGCTCATGGGTTCTATCTCTTAGCAATTTTCGATGTATATAGCCTAATCACTAGTCAGCGTCATTAACGAGAATCTTTTCCCTTACTTAACTTAACGTATGCTGCTAGTCACGACTTCTCATTGGGACTTCGGGGTAACTTCCTGTATAGAGCCAGTCATCAGTGAGCATCAGACTCATTTTAAAATTTTAATTTGCAAGGATTAAAGTGGTTACAGGTTTCCATCTTGGGCCGATATGAGTTAGAGAATCGTTGGAAAACTAGGGATTACTGAACAGCTGTCTAATCTTAATTTTGTGACTCTTCCACAGTAAGCACCCATCGGGGTTTCGAAACATGAATCTTCTAGTCACATGGCGAAGGGTGACTTGTAGACTTTGGTATAAGAGAAGAAATAAATTCTACGAAGAAGCAGATAAACAGATGCATTACGCTGGTTGTCAGTCCCCTGGGATGACGAATAACGAGAACAATGATTAAATAATAATATTAGAGTGGTGTAAACCCAAAGGTGATGTTCATAGATGATCATCAGATGATGAAGAATTTAATATGGGGAAAAAAGGAAATATTGAATGAATACAAGAATAAATGTTAAACGTATTGTGTGACTGTCAGGTAATATACATAATTTCGAAAGTCATAGAACTTTGAACATTAGAAATAGTAGTATGTCAATGAAACAAGACTGACTGACTACTACTTCATCTAACACCTGCACCACAATAACGTCTCTGCTGAAATCTTAATCTGCATTTACTAGCTATTATATGCTAACATTAATTAACTTTCAAACATAGAGGCTATAGAAGAACATATCGAAAACAACTGTTCTCTTAATTTATTCCTGATTTGAATACACTAAAAGGATGGTATTCAGAATACTAGTGGTTTATTGAATGTTTATCAATAGTCATTCACTTCCTTTTCAATACACTAGTATAGAATGTACCACCAAGGTATTTTTTCTGATTATAGCTTGATTCCATAATGTATTTTTGGTACAAGTATGGAATTTTTAGCGTATGATATCGGTAGTCCAAAATTTTGCAGGCCGACCGTTGATATCAGGTGTTCGTCGGTAGGGGATCGAACCCCGGACTATGTGTATGGCCAGCGAGAGTCCTAATCGCTGTGCCACTCTTTGTTAACAGTATCCACTTGGGAAATATACACAGTCTGTATCATAGTCATAAATTTGAAATGGCTTTTGGTCCATAGAGCTCACTGATGCTATAACTACTCATTTAATTTCATATCTGCTTCATCCTGAATATATCATTGCGTTGTCATTAAAAAGTGTTAGCAAAACACTTCATTAAGAACGACCACAGTAGCACATAGTTAAGTGATCTAAGTAAATTATTGTAGTCAGATGAATGAAATTTATTCAGTATTGAGGAGAAGAAGACCTTATAATGCTAATTTTTTTCCACTGCGTTGGTGATATAGAACAGTTTCACAAGGCATAGTGAAAAATTGTCACTTCAGTTGAATTGGTGGGAGAAGATAACTAATTACAAGAGTTCATCAGCCTATTATACTTGCTAATTACAAATAAATTTTCATCATTATTATTACTCTCTGCTTGCATTCCCAATGTAGCATCTCTACTAGACTCGATCCCCTGCTATCATTATCGGTTGCGAACAAGGCAGTCCGAATACATAAAACTCCGATATCATCTGTTCAAAGACAAGCATAGGTGAAAAACGACTAAATCAGTGCATTATTTTATGTTGTCCAATTATCAGATCAACTTTTTTTATCATCATGATAGTCATTTATTCTGTTAACACATTTTTACATGAAATGTCTAATTTAACTGATTATAGTTAATAGATAACAGTGAGATAAATTGAAGGGAATTGTAACACACATAATAGTCAGTCATAGTGAATGAATAAATACATCAGCGAGGTAATTTACACAGCTCATCTTTGAGTAATGCATACGACAGGTGATAAGTAAGGTCGGTGATGGAAAATTAGCTAAGTGAGGTAAAAACACAGTGAAAAAAAAAACACACAGAACTTGTCATTATCTTTGTAAGCCAATGAGTGACATCATTATTACTCCCATGGATTCTGAGCGGAACATAAGGCTTCAGAAGTGAATCTCCATTCATCCTGTCCTCTCCAGTCCTCTTTAACTGACTCCACAACTCCCCATAACTTCTCGTCTCCTCCTTACACGATCTCCTTCATGTAATCCTCGGACACACGCCCGACTCGACATTTCTCATACGGGTTGAACTTGAGTGATTGTTTGGCACGTGACGTCACTTAAACGGTCTCATCAGTGTGTGTTTCCAGTCAGTCCCCATTTTCTCTGGCATATTTGTTAGGCGATAAGTTCTTGGCTGTTTATTTGCTAGAATTCATTGTTGCTAATCTTCCTGACTGGCCATCTGATCTTCGGTATGGAGCCAGAGAAGGTAAAATTCTGAACCACTTTGCTGGGAATGCTTTTCGTAATGCACTAAGTCTCTGAATCATGTAGAAGAAGTGACTTAACTCTACTGTTGAAAATTGGAATTTTGTTGTTTATCCTGAGTGCAGCAGAGTTCGACAATAATTTCATAGTGATGAAGGTCTTTCTTGTTTTTCTGATCGTGGCTGGCTTTGACATCCTCATCCATTTCTCCTGCACGTAGTTGAAATGACGCTTTCCAGATAAGTAAAAGAGGTGACTTCCTTTAAATTTCTCCAGCTAATAGCAGTATTCGTAAATGATTATAATACTGGTTAGAAAATCATTTATGATAACTAAAATATTCTGAAACTTAACAGAATTTTGAATGACTGTTAGAACAATAGATGAAAATGTAAAAGTAGGAGAATGAAGGAAAGCAGAGATTGCATGTCATATTTTGTCTTCTAAAGTGTTTTTCTCTGCATAAATAACCTTGTTTTGTTTGATTTTACAATGATATCATCACTTGTGTGTAGTGAATCTGTATGTGGCGAAATTTCCCCATGAACACTTCTAACACCTCTGGGGCGTCATACGTCTACCAAGTGCATTATTAATCTACAAATCATTTGTTGTCCATTCTCACATTAAAAAAATTAAAATAGCAATCTGGTATTGATTGTAGGTATTCCTAACGAACTATAATACACTTTCAGCGGTTAACTGACGGAAAGACCCACTGATATAACTACTGTTTTTCCCAATATATAGGCACCATCGTTTGTTATCACTTCGATAAGAAGGCAGTAAAGGTATTCACTTACTAATGACAACAATATAGGGAGATAAAACTCCTATTGATGGGCTGTGTGACATGACTGACCTCATAGTTAACTTTTTTTAGTGCGAATACTTGAAATAAATCTAACCAAAACGATGATCAGCATATTACGTTGATAATAGAGTGGGCAATAATCTCGCCAAACTCTTTTTCCGAAAACTAGAATACAGAAGTCACTGAGCTGTACAGAATGTTAAACAAGACATAATCTCGATGTCTAGGTACACATACATCTTTGATGAAGTTTTATTGATGTGAAAAATACATACAGCAAACTGAACATCAACACTCTTGTTGTAATGGTCTATCGGTTTCAGCGACTACTTATTTCTCTAGAATAAATGGAAAGCAGTCATCTGAAACAATTAGAGAAAGGCATAAATAAAAAATAAGTGGATAATAGAAAAAATATGATTTCCTAGTTGAGAAATATTCACCATACAGACAGAAATAATAGAAACATACTATTTTTTAAAAAAGGAAAATAAAAACAGAATGTGGGTTCACAAGACTACCTTCTCTAAAAATAAAAGGTTGATAAAAAAAATAGTAGACTATAACTCCCTTGAGTTGCATAAGCATGGTTTGTCTGATAATTTCCCGCCAAACAAAAAGCGTAACATATTTTCGTCTGAAATGGATTAATCTTATTACCACGTACAAGTTCCCATTGAGCTCCCATATAAAACAGTTCATGCAATTGAAACCTATCAGTCAGAGTAATTTCCATACTGAGATATCTGCTCTCGTATTACATTTATTTTGTTCTGACGTGCCGTCAAGGAACTTAACCCTAAGTTCCTATTATTTGCGAAGACGCTCCGAATCGATAATTACTACAACCGCTTGTCGACTTTAACTCCAAAACACCAGTACTTGTAAGAAAGAGGTTGTGTTGTTTGGCAATTAAAATCGAGGTTAGTACAGAGTCTGTGAACAAATGTTTTACAAATAATGTGTTGTACTTTTATTCTTATTCTTTCATCTTCTTCCAACCTGTACACGATTGAACCATTCATGCCTTCGAGTTGCCCGCCAATGCCGACCAAGACCAACGAACCAACGTTCAGTGTTCACGTTCATTTACACGTGCCATATAAATGTGGGTATATATATACAAGTCATACAATCAAGAAACTATTTCATGCAGAAAGCGTTCTATCCGTTAGTTATGCATGTAAGAAATCTCGTCAAAAGTTGTACACTCTTCACTGTATCATAACAGGTTTTCTGTATGGTACAAAAACTAACTCTTCAAAATTAATCTGATACTGGCTACTAACTGGCTGAAGATGCCTGAAGTTCTGTTGAGAATTAATGACTAGAGGCATTCATCCCTTTTGGTTTGAAGACAAATACTCACCGATGACATTGGCTGGTGGTCATGCTAAAACCTCAAGGTTGGAATTCCTGGGAAATTGAGTCAATTCCCAGCGGTTGGATGGTGTATAAGCTGGCTTTCTAACCGGAAAGTTCTGGGTTCTTACCCCGGTGGGTGCATTATCATTATTATTGTTTCCTTTAATTCCTAGAGGAACATAGGGCTTCAGCCGTGCGTCTCCATTGCGTTCGGTTCTCTGCTAAAGTTTTCACCTGCCTCCAAGTCTGCCCACACGTTTTCATCTCCTCTTCACATGACCTCCTCCAAGTCACCCTCGCACTGACGACCAACTCACCACCTCCCTTTCGGGTTCCACTCGAGCGATGGCCTGTCTAGTGATGTCACTTGATGGTTTCCCTCAGAGTATGGCCAGTCCATCTCCATTTCTTCCTGCCTATTTGTTTCACAATCTGTTCCTGGTTGGTTCGTTCCCAAAGATCCCTGTTGCTGATCTTTTTCTGGCCATCTGATCTTGAGTATTGAGCGAAGACAACTGTTAATGAAGGTCTGTAGTTTGTTTGAGATGCTCTTTATGACGCGCCAAGTCTCTGATACGTATAGTGAGCAGCACTGACTTCACATTGGAGTTGAAAATCCGGATCTTATTTTTGATGCTGAGTGCTGAGTTGATCTCCACACAGACTTGAGAGTAGTGAAAGCTTGTCTTGCTTTCCGATTCTTGCTTTGATATCCTCGTCAGTTCCATTCGCCTGTAGTTGAGACGATACTTCCCAGGTCGGTTGGTGAAGGAGGTTGTTTCTTTCAGGTTCCTCCCATTTATGCTGATCGTTGTCTGTTGTTGTTGCTGTTGGTGGTGTTGCCCAGGAATCGTGATCACCTCTGTTTTCTCTATGTTCATCTGAAGTCCTATCTTTGATGCTTCTTCGGTGGGTGCATACTACCGATGAATCCCAAAGTACGACGAAACAGTTTTCCAGCAGTCTCCCGTCTTTAGCAGTCCCCTAACTGATATCAATCCGTAGTCAAACTTGAAACAAGTCACTTCCCTATAAACCAACTCTTGACAAAAATAATAATAATCAGATTACTAATTCACTGCTTACAAAATCACAGCTAGTGAATTTTAAAATTTAGTCTTTAAATATTAGATAAAACCAACATCACGGTCGACCGTGCAATTTAATTTTTAGCTTAAGAAAAGAATTTTACAAAGATTCGTTTTAATGAAAACGGAAGTAATTTTTTTTTACATAAAAACACTTTCTACCGATGTTTGTAAAGTAGATTAGGTCTTCAAACTTTGTTTACATTAATTACACAAGACTAAATAAGTATAACCAAATTGTTGTAAATCTAAATTTGAAGAAAAACTAAAGAAAGATTCTTTCATTAAAAAGATAACTCATTTTAGTTTATTCAATTAAAACATCAATAAAAAATGAATAGAGTTATTTATAGATTTAAAATAAACTTTACTGACAGAAAAAGCTACAAGATTGACTAATTCAAAAATGACGTCTATAGGTTTATTAAAAAATAAAGGCACTTTTGTCGTCCCAGTGAACCTCTCACCTGCAGAAGGAATTTAGTTTCTTTTTTTACACATAAATGTCAGTTTCATCTTGTGTTGTGCTTAGCTGAACACAAAAATAGAAGCAGAGACATTCTCATCTTAATTACATTTGGATAACGTTATTAGAAGACAGAGATTATCTGAAAAAATATGATGTATCTGCTTAACAATACATCTCAAACAGTCTCATTATTACACACATTTACTTGTCATACCAATTTATATGGAAAATAAAGACAATTTAAAATGAACAAAGTGATAAGGAATTTAAGAATAATAATAATAATGGTAATTAGCACTTTTTGGTAATATAATCAGATAAGAATTATCAAGGTAATATCAGAAAATTGGAAGAAAAAGTGACAGTTCATCTATTCAAACTTCGCAGAATGATTGTTAGTCACAAACAAGAGTTTAACTCTCTGAAGCACATCGAATTTCACCTTCCAAATCTTTAGTAGTTACCAAAGATTTATAACGTTGATAATCCACTAAGAACAATTCTATCAATGAACGAAATAGTGAGTCATAAGAAAGGAACGTAAACAGCGAAGAAAATTTTCTTCTTGACGACTCGTTTTCATAAGCTGTACAATCGTTATCATCATATTTAACAAAGAATTCACAAGACCAATCAGATAATGGTGAAACTTGTCCTCGAAAACGTATTACGTAGTGTGAGGTGTAATCTAGGAGGAGTGACTAATTGGAAATTAGAAAAGGGGCAGAAGTTGAGACGACGTAATAAGTGTTAGAAAATGACTAATCAATATAATTTTGGATAGTGGACAAGAACTAGTGGGAAGACGATGAAGTGTTCTTATAAAATCTGCACGAAAACGCAGTACTATTAATAAACAATAGTAGAGTGATAATAAAATAAGGATGATGAGAATAATAATAATAGTAAACTTACATCATAAAAGGAAAGCACCTTGTCAACTCTGGACACCGAGCACCCTCGCAGGAATGCTTCACACTGCTACGCAGAGTCCCTCATTATCTTACGAAAGGACTTCGAATACGCCACCTGTACATAGCTGAATCATTGGCTATTTGGGATCTGAAACCGCCCCTCTGCATTAAAAAGCAACACATACATTCTCTCGCCCTACCGTGGTCAGAGTAACGCTGTCATTATAATTTTACTTCCTTTTATTATGTACCCGTGTGTACAAACACAATTTATTATTACTCTTAAACTACCTTGGAAATTCTTATTGGATTATATTACCAAAGACAAAGCTAGTCGGCATCGGGAAGGCAAGATACGCCTAACGTAAATCTGAAACCAGTTTGGAAACCTTCTGTACTCAACCATCATATAGAATTAAATTCGGATTTCCAACACAAATGTGAAGTCAGTCAGTCATTTTTTCTATATAGGTCAGAAACTTGACCAGCGCATCACGAAAGGGATTTCCAACAGGTTATGCACTCTTATCAACGGCTGCCTTCACTGCCTCTATATTCAAGATCAAATGGCCAGCCGGCCAGAAATAATTAGCAACAAGAAACTCTGGTGATGAACAAACCAATCAAGAGCCGATCGCTCACAAATATGTAGGAGAAAATGGAGATGGATTGGGCATAGGCTGAGGAGGCCGCTGAATGACATCACGCTCCAGACTATCGCTCGAATGCAACCCGAATGGGAAGCGACGAGTGGATTGACGGTGCTGGGGTGACATGGAGGAGATCATAGGAGGAGGAGATGAGAGATAATGGGCAATCGTGAACCCAGTTGAAGAGGATGGAGATGTGTTGTTGAAGCCCTATGTTCCTCTCGGAACACAAGGAAATTATAATAATAGTAAAAGTAGTGTTAATTATCCTTATTATTCATATTCTTAAATTCCTTCTCACTTTTTTTCATTTTAATTGGCCTTTACTTTAAACACAAATTAAGCTGACAAGTAAATGTGTGTGATGAGATTGTTTGAAATGTATTGTTGTGCAGATACATCATATTTTCCAGATAATCTCTGTCTTTTAATAACATCATCTAAATTTATTAAATAGACTAATTGTTTCACTTATATTTATCATTTCTTAATATTTATTATTCACCCAAAGTGATATCTAATGAATTTTCAAAAGAAGCTCTGAAAATTATCTAACGAGCAAGGTATCCCTTAAAGCCTCATCATTTAATTTTTATGAATTATAATATCTAAGCTACTATTGATTCTTGAATGTAGCATTTTGTAAAGCAAAAGTCCGGAGTGAAGAAAATGAAACAAATTCTCATTTACCTACGGTACATATTCTGTTTCGATATTAAGACTAATCAGTGATGAAAGGCTATTTCATTTTTTAGTACAGTCAGTCGATTTTCTTCTTACGTTAACTGCATAAATATTTGCATGTATTTTATAAATAAAAATTATAACTTGATATCTATGCCTTTTTCACAGATTCTGATATAGATGACTCATTGTCTCAGTAAGTACTTTTTTCGAGTAGCATGTAGAATGCATCGTATAAGAATAGTGTGCATGATAATACTTCCTGTCATTTAGACATGCAGGCTTACTAACAATGGTTAGAATGTGATAGAAGATGGGGGCTACCTAGGCTGCTGGCCACATTGCAAACTTAACTGATAGATTTCATTCTACACCATCACTAAGGACTAGACGCATGATATTAGTTACTAGCTAGTGTCCAATCAAAGTATCCATTACAGTCCCAGCCTGAATAGCTCAGTAGTGACTAGGGTTCAAATCTCAGAAGGAATATTGGTTCCTTCAAGATTGCAAATACAACTTGCTGACTGGTGAATGCCAACAAACACGAAACCTAACTTGAAGACTTCCTGCCGACTGCCTCCAACTTTCTAATAATTTGAATGCCCGACAACTATTCAGCAGTTAGCTAACTTCGTAGATGATAACATCATCGATACCTTAAAGTAGATTGAACGTTGAGGCCATTTATAATTTAAAATTGGCTGCATATTTCCAAGCAATAGTATGCTTGTTACTATTATCATTGTCATCCATTTCTTACGTTCCGAGTGAAGCAAAGGGCTTCAGCAGTGTCTATTGTACTGTATTCTCTGACATCATTTTTGCCTGGCTTCAAAACTGCTCACAAGCTTTCATTTCCTTCCCTTATCATCCTCGGACGCTTCCCATGAGTTCCTGGAGTCAACTGAAGGTCTCCTATAGTGTTTATGGGTTGCATTATTAGGAAGAAGCAAAAATGCTATACATTTCTATGGAAAGTTGAACAAATAAGCGTCACTCTGGATACCTTCGACTTTCACAGAACTAAAACAAAGATTATTGGTTGGATACAAAATGTCTGAATAGTAGTTCAACACTCCAAAGGTAAAAATGTTACTCCCTAATTCACTTAGCGAATGATAGTGTGTAGTACACTTAACCGCTTATCTGAAAATTGTATCATTCATTATATCACTGTGCATGAGGAATGTCAATAAATTAATTATCTTTTGAAGTAGCATTAATGTAGTGTCTTATTATCTACCAACATATGTTTCCTCTTGCAGATAATCGATTCTTCAATGACCCATCTCGCAGTTCTTCATCAATTACTCAGTCTGTTCAAGTGATCTGTAATTCAATTGTCAGCGATCATATCAAACCAACGAGTACTACAACAACAATAACTACTACTAACACGACCACAACAACTTCTACAACTACAACATCTCTTGAATACAAACAGTCATCGTCCTACGTTAATACATTATTTATGAATTATTTAAACAGAAAACAAAGTGATTGTTTATCGAATACATCATATTGTGATTTCCCAACACCAACGCCATTACTGTTAGACAACATACCAAATCGTTTGTTGCTGGTTAATTCAGTCTACTGTGATGAAGACAGTGCTACTATCACTGAGGATGAAAAAGCTCCAGTAACTATTACAAAATCTTCATCGACAATGAGAACTTCTACAGAAACGACAATATACCCAGGCATAATGAGTAATATGATGACTAAACGAATGAATATGACTACCTCAACAGGTATTACTTCTTCAGTTGAACTAAACCCAACTAAAACTGATCAATACATTCAAGGTCAAAATTCAAATTGTAATCAATATTCAAACTGTTGTAGTCATCATCCATCCAATAAAACAATAACAAATAATCCATTGAAACAAATACCACCATCATCATTAATAACTAATCGTTATGCATCATCATTTTCACCGACTAATTCACTTGGTTCAATTGAATCACCTAATTTAAGTGCACCAAGTTCAGAATTATATAATCATAGTTATGGTGAAGATACAGTAATGATGCAAAATAGTGAAAATATTGACAGTTCATTTCGTGATAGCGAATCATTATTTGTACGTATAGATAAGCAGGAAAAAACAAATTCACGTAATATTGATTATACAAAACAGACTGTTACAGCATTATGACTATAATTCTTGTCATTTCTAATTATAGACTTTAAAGATGTAAACACTAAAAGTATTATACATATATATATACACCTATTTTATATACATGCTGTTAATGCTTAGTGTTTTTATATTGTTATTCTTTCGCATAATAGTCTTGTTCCACAATTATTTTTAAAAAAGGTTTAATTTAAGAAAGATTTGCCCCACTTTTCTTCATTTTCGTAAAAATAGACAAATATTTTCAATCTTTTTTCAACAGGACTATTTAGTTCAGAATAATTCCAGTAGTGATATCAATGTTCACGACTTGTAAGAATCTGAGCAAACTTCATGATAAGATTGTACAATTGAGCGTCAGTAAAATATAAGCAGATGGTGTCTTTTTAAGCGACTAATAATGATTACGAAAGTATCATTTATATATATTCTTATCAACTATTCTTATTTCCTCTACATATTTTTTTATATTTCCGACTTTATAGCTAATAATAAATTAAATGAGCTATATATATACATATATACATAGATATGCGAAAGGACGTGTAGGAAGGAGAAAGAAACTAACCCAATGAACTGTTACAAATTTTATGCCTAATATAACAAAAAATATGTAATATGTTTCTAACGAAACTGTAGATATATTTTTTATTAATAACAATAATAATTATTATTTCATTTAATTAACTAACTGATTCACTTATCAATTCACAACTGCTAATTTTACAGATGACCAGTTAAAAAGTTTGTGTGTGTGCGTGTGTATGAAAGCGGAACAGAGTGAGAATACCATGATGAATGTCTGAATTAGACTGGATGTACCTTTTTCGTGACGGTTATTCAATTGTAAAGAAGACTGAATTCAATATCTATATTACTTTAGTTACATTATTTTTCAAAATTTTCTAGAAAATGTGAGTGTCAGACAACTAATCAGATTTGTTTATTTATGGCTTAAATTTCTGAGGGTTTTGTAAATATATAAGATACTATGTATTTTTTTCTAATAAACGATGTTGTTCTTGTTGTTGTTTCGGCTGTCGTTTTCTCCAGTTTGACTTTTAAGTCCATCTCTCAGTGTGGGAAATAATCTCCGATGGTTAATTAGTTGTAATGTCATGTCCTAGAGTCGTGTTCTGGTCAAGTTAAACGAATCCGCCAACCCAGTACTATCAGTTCGTCAGGGCGATCACAAAACAGATACGGTGATGCATGTAAATAAAAATGTAAAACTTGTAATTCGAAATTATCTAATTTTATAAAAGGATAATGCTTGTATTGTGTTATGTGATTTCAATTCCATAAATACCACAAGGCAGATTATTAAATTTTAAGCTTTGTTTTGCAATAAACCATAAGTTTTACTGAGAAATAAGTATTGATTTCAGTGGGTTGAGCCTAAATATACATATATGTTTGCCAGCAATGCATGATATAGCCTTGAGTCTAGAAAACAGACTGAAAAGGTGATCTCCACCCAAAAGGTTAGAGGTTTATGTGACTTGAAATATAATACCAAAAGAAAAGACGATTTAAGGAGAACAAAGAATACAGGCTTTCAATGATGATTACTAAACTGTAGATTCATGGAGTAGGAAATTCAGAAAATTAAGTTAAAATTCTTTATTGTAATCACCGCTAGATTTAAAGTTATGAATAAAATATTAATTTGTGTATTAAATTATTCAAGCTATTTGTATTGTCATTGACGTTTCTAGTAAAACATTCTATGAATTTATGCCTGATTCACTTTGCTTTTGCTGTGGAAGAACAAATTAACTATTTCACTAAGTTTAAAGAAGACATGAACCTTGTGGACGATTTATGTGTAATGTCACACAAATCCAAAGATCCACGAGTAAATCCCAGCATGTTTTAAGAAGAATCAGCGAAAATAGGACTTCAAGTGGACATGGAACAGACAGAGGTGATGAAAATACCTAACCGACAATAGCAGTCGCCAGTCACTATAAACGGGAGAAATCTAAACAGAATCACCTCTTTCATTTACCTAAACAGCATGGTTCCAACTACAAGAGACACGGATGAAGATGTCGAATACAAACATGTTCTGATAAACAAGACGAACCTTCATTATTCTGAAATCTATGTGGAAGTCTGCTATACTTAGCATGAGGAACAAGAGTCAAATTTTCAACTCTAACACTAATTCAATGATTCTATATGGTTCAGAGATATGACACACGCGTCACGAAAATCATTTCAAACAGGCTGCTGTAGACTTTCATCAACAGCTGCCTTCTCCTGCTCGATACTGAAGAATAGTTGACTGGTCGGAAAGGATTAGCAACGAGGAACTATGGGAACGAACCAACCAAGGACCTATCGCCCGAAAAATATGCTGAAGGAAATAGAGATGGATTGGATATACTCTGAAGAGACGATTAAGCGTCATTGCTCACCGTGATCTCGAGTTGATTCTGAATGGATGACGATGACGCAGACATCCAGAAGTGACGTGAAGGAGATGAAATCCTCTGTGAAGTTGTGAAATCAGCTAAAACAGGTACCAGAGAACAGAGCGAAGTGATGTGATGCTGAGGCTTTTCATTCCTGAGACAGATTAAAACTGAATTCTCCCTATTTTACTCTTACAACCAGTTAACTAATACTAACTCACCGATTTTCTCCATAGACGTTCATGCTTATAAGGTTATCTTTGTTGCTCAAATTACGCCTTATTCTAGAAATTCATCCAACAGATACGACTCCGTCTACTCAAACTATTAGTTATCTCTTGATCGATTCCACGAAACTCAAACTACGAAATCTTAATTGAAGGTATTAGGCTCTTAAAATCTTTTCTATATTGATTATCAACAATAACGTGCACATATGAAACAGTAGTTTTCCGAATTCCTAATAAACAAGGGGAAGAATGCCTCAAAATTTTCTTCGAAAAATGAGAAAATTCAGTAAGTGATATCTCACCTGTTTCACATTATTCATAATGTCAGTTCAAGGCAGGAGTAATATGCTTTGCTAACTGAAATTCGCTACAAGACCTAATTACCCCAAAGAAGATAATCGTAAAATGCCACCTCTGCTTTTTAGCCTAAAACTGACAACATTCAATAGTTTGTTTGATTTTCACTAAAATTAAATAGTTAGTTTGTTCACAAAATTCTAGTTTGCTTTTGTAAACCTGGTCTAACAAAGCCGTATAAAAGCTATTAATCGTTGAAAATACGCTTATTTCACGTAAGAGTAAACTAGCTAACAGTGAAAGAATAATTCCTGATAATTCTGAAAGATAACTGATGACATGATCGCTGAGTAAGCTGATTGTATTAAAAAGGAAGATAGTAAACACAGGTTTCCAACAGTCGCCTAAAGGGAAGTGTCAAATTTTCAATGCCTTGTGTTTGAAAAATCCTTATATATATATATATATATATATGAATTAGTATGTTTTTGTAGCAGTACTGAGCTCATTGCTGTCTAATTATGCCTGTGCTCTCAAATTTTTTTCAATATGTTAGATAGTTATACTGTTAAATACCTGTTTCTCATGGTGACAATTATGCAGGTTTCACAGATTAGAGGCTTAAAACTTGGGCTACCAAAATCTTCCATCTCTCTATTGCATATATTTTCTCTCGGTCGGTTTGTTTTAATCGATTAAGATATGACCTCTATTGGTACTATCTACACTTGTGTGTATTTAAATGTTTATAAGCTTCTGTTTCGCAAGTTCCTATTAAACTTGAGGAAAGGCCTGATTGTCCGTGGCAGCGTGTTCCGATACATGAGATAACTATTCTTCAGTTATGTCCTCATGTCTCAAAGTGTACTTCTGAACATCTAACAATTGGCTTTCAATTAGATATCGTGGATTTCTTCAAAGAGACAAAGCAGGTATATCATAATGGAATGGTTTGTGTTTCAGCTCAGAGACCATTGTGTCACAGGATATACTGTCAATTAATACTTTACTTGAAGACATTGTACGAAGGGATAATATCATGCAATAAACTCCTCTGGAAATTCTGTACATTTTATAAATACTGTCCAGAATAAAGATGTTATATATATATATATATATATATATATATATAATCAGGCCTCGATAGATTCAGTTATAAAGCAGTTAGACTGAAAAAGCAGATAATATTCAGGGCAAAATGAATGAATATATCAAACCTAATAATATTTTTAATTTGTCATTACTGTCCTTGAATTTCCCTAGTGACCTTATTGGTTTATTTAGACAAGTTGAGGTGAAAAAAGAAACATATATATCTATTGGCCTCATTCTACAAACTGTATATGAAGCAGTTGTCTTTATTTATGTGCTCAGGTTCTGTGTTCAACTTCAGTGTCATATTTACCCTTTTTTCTCTAATTGCAACACGTGATCAATCAATTTTTGTAATTTTCTGAGCAAAGTTTTCATACTTTTATTCATTATAACTTGAATTCGGTGGATTAGTGTATATAATGGTTAATAAGATCTTGAACAAGCATGTTTAACTGAGTTTATATTAAGTACCGATCTAGTATATCAGAGAGACAATTATTCACCAGAAGGTAGGTGAGGGATTATCATCTTTCCTTTCTTCTAGTCCATAGCCGTATCGGGTTTGATAAAGGCATATATACACTTGTCAGTATATTCAGATATATAAATATATATATATATATATTATTTCCTTTGGTTTTGAGAGGAAAATAGAACATCAACAGCACATCTCCAATTCATCCTGTTATCTTCATTCCTCTTTAGCTGACTACATGACTGCCAACATGCTGTTATTTCCTCCCTACATGATCTCCTTCATGTCACCTTCGCACCCACGTCCAACCCATCACTTGCCATCCAGGTTCCACTTGACAGCCTGGCGCGTGATATAAATCAGTGGTCTCCTCAGCAGTCGTTCAGTCCATTTCCTCCTGCATATCTGTTGGGCAACAGGTTCACGGTTGATTCTCCATCAGAATTCTTTGTTGCTAGTCCCTTCTGGCTGGCCGTCTGATTTTCAGCACCGAGCTAGGAAACAAAAATGTTTAGGAAAGTTTGAAGTATACTGTTAGAAATGCTAATTATGACGCAGCAAGTCTCTGAATAACATAAAAGCATTGACTTGACGTGTGTTGAAAATCTGAAACTTGTTCGTGATTTCAGATTAATGGAGTTCTGTAGTGCTTTTCCGATTTTGGCTGTCTCTTACATCTTCATCCGTGCCATTTGTAAGTAAAACAATGGTGCCTAGATAACTAAAGGAGGTTATTTTTTCAAATTTCTCCTGTTGGTAGTTACTGATGCTTGCTGTTGTCACTGCTGTTGGTTAGGTATCTTCATCCTCTCTGTCTTCTCTATGTTTACTTGAAGTTTTGTCTTCGGTGTTTCTTTTTCCAACTAGTCGCTTCCCGCCTTTGGATCATGGAGTTTATGTGACATTAAACACATGACCGGTTATTTTTTCTGAGCCTTTAGTAAATTTGTCATCTTTTGACAATAATTTCTCTTCCTTTGATCTACTAATCACTAAACATCCTGAAATCTCTTGAGATTAAATGTATCTATATTGTCAACCAAGGCTTAAAAATAGAATTTAGTAATGATGTATTTTAAAAAAACAGTATTTTTTCCCTAATAAGTGTATAATATGAATTATGTGTAAGGCAACTACCAGATGGTTTTTCTGGCTACTACTTATGTTGCCATAGTCACTATTGTACAATAAACTAAGAGAAATTGACGTGAAAATTCTACCGAAAGAGCAAGGGAATGGTGCCTGTCTACTATGAATGATTTGAAAAT